ACAAGCTCCACGCATCCTGCTCGCATAAGGTGACAAGTAGGATACGCTCTTGGACCTCCATTGCTCGACAGACTTGTTCTCTTCTGGTAGTGAGGATGATTTCGCAACCTTTGTGGTTGTCGCTGTGCGGAATTCCCACATCTCCCAACTCCAGTCTCTCCCAAACATCGTCCAAGATTACAAGAATTGTGTTCTCTTTCTTCATTCTCCCAGACAATCTCCATGCTCTTGTTGTTTCGTTCTCATTGGGATCAAAATTCAAGTCTAACATGTTAGCAATGTCATCTTGGATATTTCTCAGGACTGGATCTTGAGACACAGCTGCCATCACAACCTTGTTGAAGATTTTCTCCTCGTTCTGCACTCGCTTCCCAACTTCCTTTACCAGGGTTGTCTTGCCGACACCCCCCATTCCATAAAGCCCGATGAAATTGGTGCTCTGATCTCTCAATGCATTCATGACTTTCTCCATTACTTGTCGTGTGGATTCAAAAACATTGAAATCTCCTTCACACAGAGCTTCTATAGGTGGAGGCGACAGTGGATGAGAAACAACCTTGAAGCACCCCCCAATTTGTTGAAGCTCATTAACACCATTCATCATCTCTGCTGCCTTCTTACTTAACTGGTAACGCGAACAGCAGTGAGGACACAACCCAATTTAACAACGTGAGTCCACATTACTGTTAGCAACCAACCCATTTGCTTCATTGATAACAGAATCCACAGTTCCCATCCAATTCGTGACATCAACTAGGATATCCTCTCCCCTCGGCTCTGCTTGATCAATTAATTGTTGAACTGATTCTCTCACAGTCTTCAGCTTTTCTACTTGGTTCTTGAGCTGCTCAGTATTTTCCTTGCAGTGAACCAGATACCCAACACGGCGCTCAACCGGTCGTAACACGGGTTGTAACAAGTATTTTCCAATTTCTACTACGATAGTAATCAGACATTCCATTGCCATTACTCCTAGTGGTTTAAAGAGAATAATAATTAGATCAATATGTCTATGATGATGATCAATTGATCACCAACTAAAGTAGAAGAAAAATTTGCAACAGGGAAAAGAGCTAATTAATTAAGATTTCAAATAACAAAATGAGAAGGAGATGTTTTCCTGCGTACGTACCTTTCTTAATTTGGTTTTTAACAACACAACCACCTCCTCCAGCAAACCTTCTTCCTTCTCTGATCACCTTCACCTTCGGCGATTCAACACAGCAAACATTACTCGTGGACCATCCTCTCATGCTTTTCTTTCTTTGTTTTATTCTTTTCAAAAGTCACTTGGCCCTACGTTAGGTCTGGCATCTGCACTTGTTCCATCAGTAGCTAGAATTTGTTTGCTTTATATTTGTCTTTTGCGGTCATTTATTAAAACACCCCTATGCTTTCACGGATTTGTAAAACCTACCTATTGATTTTATGCATTTTACTAGTAATCCACATTCCGTTAAATGGAAGCAGGACATGTTGGTTTAGACAGTAATACACTAATTCCATTCGAACAAATTTAATTCAGATAAATAAAAATGGAAATATTAATTGTTTCAGTTTGAACAATTTGGTTGCAACTACGAGGGCATTTTTGTAAAACAAAGTATTAATTATTTGCATTTTCAATTCAGTCCGGTGTGAATCCATTATAAATGAACCAGGTCCAATCTAATCTAATAAATATTTTGGACCATTTTGGATCGGTCCAATTCAATGTTTGGACCATCAATCTATTTAAATCCATTTAGATTTGATTGGTTTCAACCCAAATGCGGTCCATTAACACTTATATTTTTGTCGTATATCAATAGACCAAATATTGACTTAATCTAATATAAATTTATTACGGACCAACCAGATAGAATCCGATCTAATAAATCTAATCTAATAAATATTTTGGCCTGGATTGATCCAATAACCAATCCATCCAAATTGATTTTGGACTGGATGGGTCGAATCCAAAACCGGTCTAACACCCATGGGGACACCCATGAGGGGGGGGGGGGAAGTCGGCAATCAGCATGAAAACATGGAAAACAAGGAAAGGTATCCGATTTATTACTTTTCTATTTCTAAATCTTATTCTCAAAGAAAATCCAGCCTAATATTTTCACTACTTTTCTTTATAACAAAATGGAAAAAAAAAAAAAAATCATTATACTCTAGAAGACGTAAAGTGTTTTTCCTACAACGCAGGGAACTCCGAGTTTTATTCCCAAATTAGAATGCATTGTAGTTTTGATTACAAGAAAACCCCGGTAGGATGTAATAATGACATATTTCTCTTCAGATTTGTTAATTAAATTACAATTTCCTACGTAGAGAACAATTTTTTTTTAAAAGACAGATCTACCCCTTTTTAAGAGACAGATTTGTTACATTAGGATTTTACATTTGGGTGAAATTCTGTGAAATATAAAATTTCATACAAATTTTAGAACGTAAATCGGTATTACAAATATAGTATAAAATAAATTATATATATGTAACAAAATAAATTCATTTGAAATAAAAAAAAAACATAAATAGAAAATCAGTAAGATCTTAGAGAGTCCAAAAGGGTTTAAATCAAGCCAACAACTAATTTAGATTTGAAGGTGTAAGAACATGTAGCTCCACAATACTACAATGAGAACCTTGAATCTTAAGAATAGGAAGGTAACGTTGCCGCTGATTAGCTATGGGAGAAAATAATAAGTCCGAGAGAAGTGACTGAAGGGAGAAAAACGTTGCCACTGATTAGCTATGATGAGAATGTTGAATAAAGGGGAACAATGTATTCGTGATCCCCTCGAATAGAGAAACTTGGTCTTACTAGTAACAGGGCACACATGAGAGGTTGTCGTGATAATGATTAAAGTATGAAAAAATAAAAGGAAATTATAGAAAAAATTTCAACACACATATAGGAAGAGATTGTTAGAAAGTTGTATGCCCTTATCTCCAATCAGAATGATGTACATTATGAATTTATTGTAAATTACTAAAGTACATATTTGATTCAAGTTCCTGTGGTGTGTTTCTGTGTGATACCCTTAAACTGGACACTTAATGAGACTCGTGTTAGTTTAAAATGTTC